GGTTACCTATTTTTGTGAAACCGAATCGAGATTTAAGCCAGGATATCCGGAAAATACACCGGCTTAATCCGCTAACCTGGTTCTGTGAAACAATTCTCTGTTTTCCTGTCAACCTCCGGTTCTGAGCAGGAACCCAAAGCAACTGGTCTGTTATGCCAGAGTTCTGTGTCGACCTGCTGTCAGTAATTTCACCAAAAGGTTCGGTTGTGACAGGGAGCAGCATCCAGTGGGTCATATGTGTACAGTCATATGTTGTGGTTGCAAGTTAAAGGCCTGCTGTTTGTGTTTGAGTGTCAGGCCGTGTGTCCGGTACCTGAATGTTCTGTACCACTTATCTCTTCTTCTTCTTCTGCTGCTGATTGATTCCTGGTTCCACCTGCTGGTTAATCACGTTCCCTGCAGTATAGACGGGACATCCAAGCCAGATTTCGAGGCGTGTGCCGAGTAAAAAGAGGGCGTGTCAGATGAAGCCCAGCTTCTCTGCTTGTGTCGTCTTGCTGAAAACTGATAACAATCGATGCCTCTCATTGCATGGGTCACGTGACTGCTTCATTTTGCGTGTCGATTTTCAAACTAAAAGCGTGATGAGCCGTGCTGCTTCATGGGTTATTGATCGCGCATCAGAGGAGAATATTTGTCCTCAGCATTGGCTGAAATAGAAGGAACATTGACCAACATATTTCATGCGTATTAATGATTTTGATGATGGCACTCATCAAAATGTAATGTTTGTTACTGTTTTTCTCAATTGTTGATAATGGTGTATTTTATGACTTTATATTTTTGTGTTTTGTGATGTAAAGAACTTTGAACTGCATTGTTGCTTAAATGTGCTACACACATAAACTTAATTGAAATGGAGCCAGCAAGAAGAAAAGAATCTGACATCTGGGAATACTTTGAGATGATCGGTCACAATAAGATTCTTAAATAAAAATAATTAACCCCTTCACCTCCAAAATTCCCACCTTCTTGAAATGTCTACTACTTCTTTGTTCAGCAACGATATATCAGTCTTGCACAGCAGAAACAGACTTAGAGCTGTTGGAACATTCTGGCCTGATGAGTAAAAATATAAGGGATCAGAGAGCCAACTCAAAATCCAAGAAAAAGAGAATTTTTGAAGACCTTTAGTTTCCAGAAAGCAAATCAAAACTCAAAGAATACTGTCTGCCCCAACAAGCACTCCACTCCCAGTACAATTATTGAAAATCTTTTCCTCTCGGCTTTTTCCCTTTAGGGGTCGCCACAGCGAGTCATCTGTCTCCATGTAACCCTGTCTTCCACATCATCTTCTCTCACACCAACCACCTTCATGTCCTCTTTCACTCCATCCATAAATCCCCTCTTTGGTCTTCCTCTAGGTCTCTTTCCTGGCAGGTCCATCCTCAACATCCTTCTACCGATTTATTCAGTGTCTCTCCTCTGTACATGTCCAAACCATCTCAGTCTGGCTTCTCGGACTTTATCTCCTACACATTTGACATGAGCTTTTCCTCTGATGTATTCATTTCTGATCTTATCCGTCCTTGTCACTCACAAAGAGAACCTCAACATCTTCATCTCTGCTACCTCTAGCTCTGCCTCCTGCCTCTTTGTCATTGCCACTGTCTCTAAACCGAACAGCATTGCTGTGATCTCAGTACTGTCTTGTACACCTCTTTCCCTTCATTCTTGCTGATACTCTTTTATCACACATCACACCTGACACTTTTCTCCACCCGGTCCACCCTGCTTGGACACATTCCTTCACTTCTTTTCCACATTCACCGTTGTTCTGGACAGTGGACCATAAGTACTTAAAATCTTTAACTTTTGTTATTTCTGTTCCAACTTCATGTCTCCACTTGGGTGTCTCTTGTTAATAATACAATTATTGAAAATAATTATTGAAATGAAAAATTTCCTAAAATGGAATAAAAATAAGTGTACCTCATCTATCCAGTCCAGTAGAATCATTTCACACTGATTTTGACTCAATAGGTCACATGACATAGAAGCTATTGAAGAAAAATACTAAATTGTGACAAAAAAAGCTAAAAAATATAAAAATGGTTAAAATGGATTGAAGTTGAGTGTGCTTCATCTATACAGTCTAGTACGCATTTGTCAAACTCAAGGCCCGCGGGCCACATGTGGCCCGCCATGTCATTTTATGTGGCCCTCCCAGCGTTTTATAGGGCCATGATTGACTTAAAATAGGTTTTGAGCACGAATTGACTAAAAACTACATATCCCATAAT